GAGTAGATGTCACGGGACAAGATCCCCTAGGCTACTGCCACCACCATGCAAATAGAAGTAGGATATAAGGGAACGAATGCCTGGGTGGAATGGATTAGATATTCTGTTCACACCCTAAATAAAAGCTACTGCTATGCTAGTGCAGCAGGAAGGCTAGAGGCCCAAGTGGTCCCATTCCCATTCGAATGGACCTCAGACAGTAACAGGATGGAAGGTGTGCTTGCCTTGTACCAGGAGGAAACAGCCTGGGGATACGCTTCCTGTAAGACTCTCGCCCTATTGTTCCCATCCAACAGAGGTAAAGAGCAAGGACCCCCAAAAACAATCCGGCCCATCCTCCGACATAAACTATGCCTCCTGCCTCTCAAGGGGCGGGGACAGTGCTTGGAGTTCATGAGAAATGTATCCGGATGCGTAAACGGCCGAGTATCCTCAGAAGCCCATCGTGCTGCACTGTCGGTACCCGTGCTGATGTCTGGTGGTGTCATGGGGACCCTGGCTTGGGCCTTGCCCAGCATTTGGAGTGGACCTTGTGCTCTGATACAATTGGCTATTATCCCTTTCACGTTGGCCCATCGTAAACTTTTTCCAATGGACAGCCAGACTAGGAAGAGGACAGAGTCCAGGGGGCTCCTTTAATCCCCATATGCACACAGATCCCACTAGGGTTCCAGGAGGAGTTCCAAGGAGTCTAAGGCTAGAAATCAGATTGCTGCCAGGTTTGAGTCTGTCTTGTGTTGGTGGCCACTGTGAACAAGAATGCGGTGGATTAATTATATTTACTAGAACCAGCAAAGGCTTGTTAACTATACTCGAGACGCAGCTAAAGGGATAGCTGAACAGCTAGATGCCAGCAGCAGGATGACCTGGGAGAACAGGTTGGCCTTGGATCTGATTCTGGCAGAAAAAGGAGGAAGATGTGTAATGTTGGGGTCAGTGCTGCACATTCATCCCTGACAACACAGCGCACGGACCGTCACTGAGCCTAAGGCATTGGCAGCTTTAGTGACGGGTGAGCTGGAGCCTGCGATCGAGGGTCCTTCCTCTAATGCACTAGAGCGACAGTGTCCACACTCACCCCTTTGATTAGAAGTTACAGAGATGGGATGTCACATCACCCCATGTTTGGGGGGTCTTATCCAAAGACTAACTGAAACCACATTGACCAAACAGCAAATTAGTCTCCTTCTAGAGCAGTGGTTCTCAACCTTCTGGCCCTTTAAATACAGTTCCTCATGTTGTGACCCAACCATAAAATTTTCATTGCTACTTCATAACTGTAATGTTGCTACTGTTATGAATCGTAATGTAAATATCTGATATGCAGGATGGCCTTAAGCGACCCCTCTGAAAGTGTCGTTCGACCACCAAAGGGGTAGCGACCCACAGGTTGAGAACTGCTGCTGTAGAGCATGAAAGTCAATGAATGTCAGCCGAGTTTTAAGAAAAGAGTTTAAATAAAGAAAAGGGGAGAACTATGAGAAGAAACAAGTCATCTTTTCTTTTTGCTTTTCTTTTTTTTTTTTTGATTGAACAAGTCATCTTTTCTGTCAAAAAGCAGTGTAGATAGGCCTCATTTTGGACTGCGTGACTTGGCAGCCACCAAGCTGGCCGCATGGCTTGCAGCTCCCCCGGGGCCGCCGTCTTGAAACGGCAAAAGTCAACCCCTCCCGTTGAATTAGCCAATCGGGAAAGACCGTGCGCCTGAGCTCCAATCAAGAGTGAGGGGCAGGTCACATGCGTCAGGGATTATAAAGCTGAGCAGAGCACCTGCTGGGTGTGTGCGCGCTTCCAGACCATGTGTGCGCATCCTTCTATGTAGAAGTAAAGATATTGGCCTTGCAAAAAAAAAAAAAGAAAGAAAGAAAGAAAGAAAGACTATCTTACAAACTAACACGGACAGGCTTCTATCCTGTAAGAAGAAGAGGTAAAGATAGAGAAACTGAAGTTACTTTTTAGAAGCCTCTTCAAGTTGGAGGATACCAGAGGGAAGGGTGAGAGGATCCTGGATGAAGGAATCCTTTGAAAATGAAGATTATCAATTACTCTTTTGGGGAAGAAAAACAGGAAACATTTTGAGGATATGAGTTTCTATTTTACAAATGTTTCAAGTGCTTAAAAAACAAAGCAATTAGTGAAATAACCTAGCATTATGTTCTTGCAATGTGATGCAATATAAAGTACACCTCATCTATGAAGCATCCATACCAAAAAAATGTAGTCTGAAACTAATCATGAGAACAGTCAGACAAATCCAGGATGTAGACATTTTAAAAAACACTCCCAGAAATGTCAAAATCATGAGGAAGAAAAAGAATGGTCTAGACCAGTTTAGATTAAAATGCAAAAATGTAACAACTAAAAGTAATGTATTATGTATCTTTATGTGATCCTTACTAACAGCTACAACATACATTTATTTTGGACAACTGGGAATTTTGACCTATAAACTGTATATTAGATGATACTATGAAATTCTTGTTAACTTTTTAGGCTTATGTTTTAGGTATGGTAATGATACTGTGGTTACACAGATGAATGCCCTTTTCTTGGGAAGACGTGCTAAAGTGTCTAGAATGAAATTCATCATATCTGTGACTTCCTTCCAAATGGTCCGGAACACACACACACACACACACACACACCCCTAAATGTACATATACAGGGGTAGGCAAAAGTAGGTTAGCAGTTGTTCGTATGGAAAATATGTAATACAAGAATAAAAAATAATATAAGAATAAATAATACAAGAATAAACTCTGCATTTCATGCACTCAAAACTGTAAACGTCCTTTTGCCCACCTCTGTCTATGTTTATGTGTATGTGAATAAATACAGACTTCCCTAGATGAGAAGGTAGGGAAGTGATAAGATGTTAACAACTGGTTTATGAGAAAAGTTAAGTTTAAACTCTACACTTTGTACACTTTCTATGATAAATATAATCTAAGAAATCACAATTCCTATAGACTAGACAAGATGCATTGCTGATATCTTCTGTCAAGATACATTAAGAAAGTCAAGTTACTCAGAGGCTTATAGGATGAATGCTGATTATATTCTTGTCCATTCATACAAGCCTCAGAAGACTGGAATGGACAGAAATGCTTCATTCAGTCCAGTCAAGATCAGAGGCAGAGTTTACCATCAGCCTGCTTCCTTCAAAGCTGAAGCAGGTCGGCAGGAAGAGAAAAGTTTGTCCCTCCCAGGCCTTGAACCTTACTTACTTCTACACAGAAACCGAAAGTCTACTTTCTAAAAGTTACCTGAATGCAAGTATCAGCTGTATCAGGGCTGCAACTGCACCTTTAACATCCACATAAATCAAATATAATTCTTAACCAATGTTAGTCAACCTTAGTGCTGAGACAAGCCCTAAAAGTACAAACAGTTTACACTTAATTCTCAGGGCATGATTGCTAAATGTGTAAATTATATGAATTCCCAAACACTCCATAATTTATTTTCTTGCTTTTGATCTGATTGTTCCATTTATCCATAATTATCATGATGAATGCAAGATCATCCAAGTCTCCCGGAGACTCTGCCTAGACAGTCACCATCCACAAAGTCCAAAGTCTAAATGAAGGTATCTTTTTGTACATATTAACATACATACACACACACACACACACACACACACACTCCTCTGACATTTTCATTGGTGGAAAAGATGACATAAAAAGATGTAACAGAATAAAAACAAGGTACTGAAAACAAAAATTCTAAAATAGGGTTAATAATGGAAAATTTCCAAATACAATCATTTTCAAATGCAATGACCAAAGTACAAGCAACAAAACATACATAAAAAATGCATGTAATCCTGTGCATTCAACTATTTATAGGCTGAGAGAAAAGTGAAAAGAAAAAAATTTACTTTTAAATAACACTGAAAATACAATATATTCAGGTTTTTAAAAGAAGTGTACATAAATGTAGCACTGAGTCTGCCTATCCACAAGCAAGATAAAAAAGTTGTAACATGTAGCTTATGATGTCACTTACTTTTCTATTGCTTACAGCACTGGGTTTGGAAATGTGTAAATCAAGAAAGAAGATAACAATTAAAAGGAGAGAAAAACTGTATTCAGCTCATAGCTAACCTAAAGTTTAAAAGTCCTAAAGACGGAAACAGAAACTACTGATGAGAAGGACTGCTTTAATAACGACGCAAAACCGGTCCCCAAAGAACCATAGCCACGGTAAGGAAGACACCAACACACTAGGAGAATGTTTACAATACAGACACTAAATTTGCAGTGTATGCAGCACTGGAATAAGATGAGGATGACGGGCGGGGGTATGCTTGGAGAGGTCAATGGGGGGGGAGAGGAGACATGTAATACTTTCAACAATAAAGAATTAAAAAAAAAAAAAAAAGATGAGGATGAGGTGTGCAGAAGGATAGTGGAGCTCTGTCTCCCTGAAGGGAAAGAGACTCCAGGTTGGCAAGTACCCAAGGCATCTTTTTTGCTTTTGTTAGTGTGCTTCGTCCCCCTCTAAAGAGATCAACAGTATACAAAACAAAGCCTCAGATTTATAGATATACTGAGTTCTACCATAAACTTGAGTTTTCCATTCTTCTCTAGCTGGAAATAGTATCACTTAATGGCCAGGAAACATTATCAACATGTCCAGTGGGGGACTTGGAGGAAGCAGCCAATCCTATTACAGTCAAGATAACATATGGAGTGCTAAAAACACAAAGCGGCCTGCTGAGCACTAACGATCTAGTTGATTAGCAGAGTCAGAGAAGACCACAAGCTAAGCACCAAAGACAACAGAGTAAGACAATCAAACAGGAGTTCACTGGGACAATTTTGCAACATTTCATGGAGCAGCTAGAACCTGAATTTGGTCTTTAGGGAAGAGAAAAGGATTCTGCCTGGTGAGACTGCACGACGACTAATGGCAGAGTCCTCAGAAGTACAGCACCAAAGGCGGTCTCCCACTGCAATGACCGTCAGGCGTCTAAAAGGGCTGGGCCTTCCACTTACTGCCATGTACGGCCTACACCCAGCATCTCTGGTCTTGGCAATGGAGTCCACAAGCTGTCCGCTGATGCCAAAGTCACAGAGTTTAATATTTCCACTTCTGTCCAGAAGGATATTGGAAGGTTTGATATCTGAAAGAGACAGGTACCATTCAGTGTAAAAGTAATCAATCAAATGAGCTACAGTCTAAAGTACTTTAAGTAAAAATACTGAAAAACCTTAGACAACATAAGTGATCAAGTCCTTAATATTCAGATGTATGAGAAGATGAGAAATATGAAATTTCTCTGAAGACCGATGCTTAAAAACTCAGTATCAAAAAATACTACAGCCCTAGCCAGTTTGGCTCAGTGGATAGAGTGTCAGCATGCGAAATGAAAGTTCCCAGGTTCGATTCCGCTCAAGAGCACATGCCTGGGTTGTGGGCTCGATCCCCAGTGGGAGACTTGCAGGAGGCAGCCAATCCATGATTCTCTCTCATCACGGATATTTCTAGCTCTCTCTCCCTCTTCCTTCCTCCCTGAAATCAATAAAATTATATTTTTCAAAAAAACTACAAGTGTATTAAAAAAAATACTATACAATACATTTAGGCATTCTATTATGTTGTTTTGTTCTCCTCAAGGGACATATTCATTTATTTGCTTTAAATTCATTACTTAACAGTCAAACTATAAAGAATGAATTTAACCTGTAAGAGTATACTAAGCTACTGTACAATATGTGTCAAAGACTATGTGACACTGGGGACCGCTTTAGCTGTTACTACCCTGAGGATGGAGCCAACAGAGTAAGGAGGGCACAGCCTAAAGAAGGAGCTTGAACTCTAACCAAATTGTGCCAGGACTTTATTACCACAGAGAATGCATTTCCTTAGCATTTAAGCCAATTATCAGAATTTTCTGTAACCTGTAATCAAAGCACACTACCTGTAGCAAAAAAAAAAAAAAGCTAACTAATTTGAAGTGATAAAAAGACTGCTATAAACTCATCATTTTATTTACTAATAGGAAAACAAAAGTTACTTCTGAAGAGTTTCCCTTTTATCTTACTCCTCCTCAGGCACTGCCTTAGTGCTTTTCTGTGGTACCTTGAGTATTCCTAAGGTATTTGAATCGCTCTACGGTAAAGGCAATCCTATCTAATAAAAGAGAAACATGGTAATTGGCATACGACCGCTACCCTTCCCACTGGCTAATCAGGGCAATATGCAAATTAACTGCCAGCCAAGATGGCGGCCGGCAGCCAGGCAGCTTGAAACTAACATGAGGCTTGCTTGCTTCAGTGACGGAGGACTCCAACGTTCCCCACCGGCTGCTGCAGGCCTCTGAGCTGCAAGCAACTATGTAACAAACATAGAAGCTAAACAAAACCCCAGAAACCTGCTTTAGTCCCGGGCTTCAGCCAGCAGGATTGCAACATTGTAAGCAAAGGCCAGAAACCTACTTTCAGCAGCGGAGGCCTAAGAGCTGGAGCCAAGCCTCAAAGCTAAAGCTGGCCCAGAATAAAAAAGAAAAAAGAAAAAAAGGAGTGGTTGGGAGCTTCAGTCACCCGTCAGCCTGAAAACAGCCCTCAGCCCCTCACCCAGACTGGCCAGGCACCCCAGTGGGGACCCCCACCCTGAAGGGTGTGTGACCAGCTGCAAACAGCCATCATCCCCTCATCCAGGCTGGCCAGGCACCCCAGTGGGGACCCCCACCCTGATCCAGGACACCCTTCAGGGCAAACCAGCCGGCCCCCACCCGTGCACCAGGCCTATACCCTATATAGTAAAAGGGTAATATGCCTCCCAGCACCGGGATCAGCGGAGCCGAGAGGCCTCCCGGCACCGGGATCAGCGTGACAGGGGGCAGCGCCCAAACCCCCTGATCGCCTTGCGGCTCTGTGTGTGGCAGGGTGTGGCGCCCAACCCCCTGATCGGCCCTGCTCTGTGTGTGACAGGGTGCGGTGCCCCAACACCCCCCCCCCCCCACAGGCGCTGCTCTGTGTGTGACGGGGTAGAGCCATTACCTCCCCATAGGCACTGCCCTGAGTGTGAGAGTGGCGGCACCCCAACCCCCTGATCGGCCCTGCTCTGTGGGTGATAGAAGGCGGCGCCCCAACCCCCTGATGGGCCCTGCTCTGTGCGTGACAGGGGGCTGCGTCCCAACCCCCTGATTGGCCCTGCTCTGTGCGTGACAGGGTACAGAGCCCCAACCCCCCTGATGGGCCCTGCTCTGTGAGTGACAGGGGGAAATGCCCCAACCCCCTGATTGGCCCTGTTCTGTGCATGACAGGGGGTGGCGCCGCAACATCCCCATCGGCCCTGCCTTGAGTGTGACAGGGGGCGGTGCCCCAATCCCCAAATCGGCCCTACCCTGAGCATGACTGAGGGTGGCATCGCAACCTCCCGATCCGCCCTGCTCTGTGCATGACGGGGCGGCACCCCAACTCCCCAATCAGCCCCGCTCTGAGCCCAACCAGGGGCTGCACCTAGGGATTGGGCCTGCCCTCTGCCACCAGGGAGGGGTCCCAGACTGCGAGAGGGCACAGGCCAGGCTGAGGGACCCCCCCTCCCCCCCAAGTGCACAAATTTTTGTGCACCGGGCCTCTAGTATATATACAAAAGCCTAAGCAACCATTGCAACTGTTGCAACCGTTACAACTGGCCGGTGGCTATGACGTGCACTGACCACCAGGGGACAGACACTCAACGCAGGATCTGCCACCTGGTGGTCAGTGCGCTCCCACAGCCAACCTCCCGCAGCCGGCCAACCTCCCACAGTCCCTCCCCCGGGCCAGCCGGCCCCAATCGGCCCCTATCGCCGGCCAGGCCGAGGGACCCCACCTGTGCATGAATTCGTGCACCAGGCCTTTAGTACTCTCATAATTGCAGAACACAGCAAAAAGGGAGAGAAAAACCCCAAAACAAGAACAAGATGAACTATGAGAGGAACAAAATAATTTTGTTTAGGGACCTAATACTACATGATTTTAGGCCAAAAAGGAAATTAGGAGCCTACCTAATATTATTTTAACATAAAATAATGAAGACAAATTCATTATTTTATGTTAAAAATATCAGGTAGGCAAAAATAAATGAATTATTTTGATGTTCAAAGTTTACTAATTTCTGGACCAGGGTCAACCTCAAACTAAAATTACTTAAATAAATGTCCCAATTACTAATTTCTCTAACCACTAGAAACTATGATACTTAGAATTCAAGGTTTTGCACTTCTCTGAATATGACCTTTGACTTTCCTCCTTATTTACTATCAGGATGAATCACATACTGCCACATATTGTCTTAGGTCTGTCATGATACCAGAGCAACTATTTAGTCTATGTGCTGAATTAAACTCAGGATTCCCACTGTCATGCAATAGATCTACATCAAATGTTTAAAATTTTTAATGTGTGTTTAATAAGGACAAGATCACTATTCTCACAAACACAAATGCTTTACAGCAATTACAATTAAAGGAATCTCTGATTGCAGCACTTCACAGGGACAGTAGTGTGCCTGTAACACACAAGGCAGTTACCCTCTGATTCTCCTTTGACTGCCCACAGGACCACCTTCACGCCTTAGTAGTATACAAGAGAAACACTAATTATCTATCGGCAAATAATAACTTTTCAACTAAGAATAATAAGAATTTACAGCAAAATCTCCTTCAATTACTAAGCCCAACATATTAATAAGGTAGACTAAAATTTATAGACCCCCAAAGGGAAAAAACTCTAATAGTGAAGTTTTAGGATACATATAGTAGGTTTTGCTTGAAAGTGGCACTGTAATTTTCAATATTTTTTCCCTATTAAGGAATAGTTGTTCTATAAAAAAAAATTCTGTACCCACCTCTGTGAATGATTTTCAAGTTTTCCTTTAAGTGGTTTAGTGCTTTCACAGTCTGTGGAGAAAAAGCAGAGGTGGGATAAACAATTTCCTTTTAATCAAACAGCACAATAGTTTATCTTAAGTAACAGCCCACATAGCCCATTGCATTCTTGTAAGCTTAATGTTTCAACATCCTGTGCAATTTTTGTTAACTGAAGATGCTGAATGTTGATTTTAAATTTAAAAACTTAGTTGCCCTGACAGCTAAAAAGAAAACCCTTTACAATTTTTTAGTAAGTCATTAACAAGTTGTATAATATTTCTTATTTCTTCAAACTCTTCAAGAATAGAAATATGTGGTATAAGAAAAGTCCAACAGGCTGGATCCATTATCAACCCTGACTTAGTTTAAGTTCTTCCAAAGTCTCAGTTTCTCACAATCATTCACCCTCATTGGGTACTGAGCCTTCAAAGTAACTTTTGCAGCAGAGCCATGTGTCTCTAATGTCTCAAACAGTCAGGCTTGCGAGTTCATAGAGTTATTAATTAGCAAGAAGGGATTAATCAACCTGGCTGGGTGGCTCAATTGGTTGGAGCGCCATCCCAAAGGTTGCGAGTTTGATTCCCATTCAGGGCACATGCCTAGGTTGGGAGTTCAATCTCCAGTCTGGTAGCAAACAGGAAGGCAACTGACCAATGTTTCTCTCACATCAAAGTTTCTCTCTCTCTCATTCTAAAAATCAATGAGCATATCCTCAGGTAAGAATTTTAAAAGAGAGATTTAAATCAAAGTAATTTTAAATGTTGTGCTTAATATACAAGGTGATCACCAAGGCTAGTAACATAGGCAAATACATAATATATTATTTATTAATATACATATACTACACATATTTCATTATACAATAAAATAATTTTATCTATGTTTTCTAACTTCATAATCACCTTGTACAGTGGTTAAAAACAAGATTCTGGAATTAGGCTGCCTGGGCTTAAAGCATTTACTAGTTAAAATTATATAAACTTCAAAGCAAATTAATTGCTCAATCTCTCCATATTTCAGATCTGTCATCTGTAAACAAGTTACACTATTTACCATAGAGAGTTGCTATGAAGATAAAATGTCATAAGATCTTGGCCTGATATAAATAAACATTCAGTAATCACTAGCTGTTTTCATTATGCTACTATTGTTTCTATGAATACTAACAAATTCCAAGATAATATTGGCTATGGTATACTGGAGACAGATGACTAAATTGATCAATATAAAATTTCCTAGACCAGTCAGAATAATTAACAAGTTTCTAGTAAAACTCTGCATCTTTTTATAAAATATATGTAAGGTTATATATCTTAACATTTAGCTAATTAAACGTTTAATTTTAAGCATTAAATAAGCTAAATAACTTAAAACATTAACAAGAGACCTGTAATTTTTAAACTAATGTTTAAACTAACATTAAACATTAATGATTAAGTAGGATAAAATGCAATGGACAGACAACCTATGCTGGATATTGAGGATGCAGGAAAGGGAGAGTAGAGAAATTAAATGCAACTAGGTATCTTACAGCTTCCTATAAAATTTAGTTGACATATCCACTAAGCCAGATTGTGATCAGAGTCTCAGGGGTTTCTAAGAATCTTATTAATTTTACGCTATCACAGAAAATTATCTTCAGAAAAAATAATTATGAACAACCTTTGTCAACTAAAACAGGGGTGGGCAAACTTTTTGACTCGAGGGCCACAATGGGTTCTTAAACTGGACCAGAGGGCCGGAACAAAAGCATGGATGGAGTGTTTGTGTGAACTAATATAAATTCAAAGTAAACATCATTAAATAAAAAGGTACGGTCTTTTTTTTTTTTTAGTTTTATTCATTTCAAACGGGCCGGATCCGGCCCACGGGCCGTAGTTTGCCCACGGCTGAACTAAAAGATTCAAAGCAAGAAAGGAAATAATCATGATCCCACTTTCAAGACTATAAAAACATAAGTAAAAAAGTACCTCTTTTCGTTTTGGTATTCAGGTAAAAGTGAATTGACCAAATAAGCAATAATGCTGGTTACTGAAATTGCTGGTCAAAAATTTAAATAGTTTAGTCTGCATAGCCCAACTCTTAAACCACGAAGAGTTTTAAATAAGAGACTTCAAGGATACTGTTGTGATTCTGATTAATTTAGGCATAAGCATGATAATACATATTTAAAACATATTAAAAATAGTTAAACCAACAGTGGAAAAGGGAACAGAAAATTGCTTGTTCTAATCTTACTGACAGCACAATCTATTGTGGTTGATTGTGATTCTGTACTACGGACCACATATTGAAAATAGTTCTTTATGATTGTGACAATTACCCCAAAGAAGTGTTTCAGTCTCTGTCCCTTTACCAGTGACCCTCCAGGAAAGTCAGTAAAATTCTGTGAAGGATATCTGGGCATGTGCATTCAAATGCCAGCAGCATCTTTACATGAGCACATAGAGAATGAACAATTTGAAAACCAGGTACTTACTGCTAAAGTGATTTTGCCTAAAATTTCTTCTGGAATAACATCATCTAATACACTATATACATATTTGTAAAACTTATCAAACGAGGTAGACATGAGTTCCATACAGATCCAACAGTCACCCTATAAAATAACAAATATGTTACTCTTATACATCATATTATGTACCATTTTTCCTTCACTTAAAACAGAAATACAATTAACAAAAAAGCAATCTTCATTTAAAAAAAAAAAAACTTGTAGAAATTTTTGGTTCCTTATTAAAGCTCTGGACAGAACATTCTCCTCATGCTTAAACACAAACTGATTTGCCCAATTTTCCCCACTCTTAATTGTAAAGGCAGGAACAGTCTTACATAGAAAACTTTTGAGCTTTATACGAATTTCAAATATTGCCATAATTAAATATACAAATAGAAAACGTGGAAAACTGTTCATTCTCACTAACAAATAGATTACAGTTACCTTGATATACTATAAAAACTTCTAAATAAGTAAATAAAATAAAAGAGAGACAGACGAAAATACATAAAGCAAACCCAAAGCCTCAAAAGTTATTGCTCAAATGCTCTCTGGAGCAGTTTACAAGTCATCCCACTCTCAGCAACCCCTTGCCTTGCCTCGCTGTTCTTTGAATGACCTGTATCATCTTTTAATATAAAATATAACTTATTTATTTTATTATGTTTTTCATCTACATTTCCTACACTCCACCAGGACAGGGGCTCAATGAACATTCCTTAAATGAATGAATGCTGGCTATAATTAAACTGAATCATTCAAAAACTGATGGCAGCATTATAGAGGGTTTTAAAACAGTCTGAAGGCAACTGGACAATAAAGCAAGAGAAATAAAAGTATTTATACCCTTTGACAGAATTATGACTGGGATCTAACTTAAAGAAACAGTCCAGAAATTACAAGAACAAAAACAAACTAGAAACCACTGAACTATCCCACAAGAGGAAATGGTACATCATTAAAGGAATTATCTAAAATTAATTATTTTAAAATGGTACAGTTCATGAGGTATGCACGAGCAAAATGCAAACCCTAAGTAATACCATGATTATAACACTACTAGAGGCCCGGTGCACGGATCCATGCACGAGTGGGGACCCTCGGCCTGGCCTGCGGGGATCAGGCTGAAACCAGCTCTCTGACATCCCCCGAGAGGTCCCAAATTGCGAGAGGGCGCAGGCCAGGCTGTGCGCCGGGCCTCTAAGATGCATATAAGATCTTTGGTTAATCTCTCCCCGCCCTCCCCTCTCCCCGCTTCCCTCTGAGATTCATCAGTCTGTTCCATGTTTCCATGCCTGTGGTTTCTGATCCTGCACTGAGCACCTGCCCCCTACCGGTTGGACGGTCACTTAGGCTTTTATATATATACTAGAGGTCTGGCGCACAAAAATTTGTGCACTCGGGGGGAAGGGGGGGTTCCCTCAGCCCTCTCGCAGTCTGGGACCCCTCGGGAGATAACGACCTGCTGGCTTAGGCCTGCTCTCAGGTGGCAGAGGGCAGGCCCAATCCCTAGGTGCAGCCCCTGGTCGGGCTCAGAGCAGGGCTGATTGGCGAGTTGGGGCGCCGCCCCTGTCATGCACAGAGCAGGGCGGATCGGGAGGTTGCGATGCCACCCTCAGTCACGCTCAGGGTAGGGCCGACTGGGGGATTGGGGCACCACCCCATCACACTCAAGGCAGGGTCGATGGGCAGGTTGCGGCGCCACCCCGTCATGCACAGAGCAGGGCCAATCAGAGGGTTGGGGTGCTGGCCCCTGTCACTCACAGAGCAGGGCCCATCAGGGGGGTTGGGGCTCCGTACCCTGTCACGCACAGAGCAGGGTCGATCAGGGGGTTGGGGAGCTCCCCCCTGTCACTCACAGAGCAGGGCCAACAGGGGAATTGGGGCACCGCCCCCTGTCACACACGGAGCAGGGCGGATCAGGGGGTTGGGGCACTGCACCCTGTCACACTCAGGGCAGGGCCGATGGGGAAGTTATGGCTCTACCCCGTCACACACAGAGCAGGGCCCGTGGGGGGCAGTTGGGGCGTCGCCCTCTATCACCCACAGAGCAGGGCCGATCAGGGGGTTGGGGCGCCACCACTGTCACACTCAGGGCAGGGCCGATGGGGAGGTTATGGCTCTACCCCGTCACACACGGAGCAGGGCCTGTGGGGGGCAGTTGGGGCGTCGCCCTCTATCACCCACAGAGCAGGGCCGATCAGGGGGTTGGGGCGCCACCACTGTCACACTCAGGGCAGGGCCGATGGGGAGGTTATGGCTCTACCCCGTCACACACGGAGCAGGGCCCGTGGGGGGGGTTGGGGCGCCGCACCGTCACACACAGAACTGCAGGGCAATCAGGGGGTTGGGGAGCTCCCCCCTATCAGGCACAGAGCAGGGCTGATCAGGGGGTTGGGGCGCCTTCCCCTGTCACGAACAGAACAGGGCTGATAGGGAGGTTGTGGTCCCGCCCCCTGTCACACACACAGAGCCACAGGGCGATCAGGGGGTTTGGCTGCTGCCCTCTATCACGCTGATCCTGGTGCCGGGAGGCCTCGCAGCTCTGCTGATCCCGGTGCTGGGAGGCATATTACCCTTTTACTATATAAGATAGAGGCCTGGTGCACGGGTGGGGGCCGGCTGGTTTGCCCTGAAGGGTGTCCTGGATCAGGGTGGGGGTCCCCACTGGGGTGCCTGGCCAGCCTGGATGAGGGGATGATGGCTGTTTGCAGCTGGTCACACACCCTTCAGGGTGGGGGTCCCCACTGGGGTGCCTGGCCAGTCTGGGTGAGGGGCTGAGGGCTGTTTTCAGGCTGACGGGTGACTGAAGCTCCCAACCACTCCTTTTTTTCTTTTTTCTTTTTTATTCTGGGCCAGCTTTAGCTTTGAGGCTTGGCTCCAGCTCTTAGGCCTCCGCTGCTGAAAGCAGGTTTCTGGCCTTTGTTTACCTTCTGTATTTGAAACAATGTTGCAATCCTGCTGGCTGAAGCCCGGGACTAAAGCAGGTTTCTGGGGTTTTGTTTAGCTTCTATGTTTGTTACATAGTTGCTTGCAGCTCAGAGGCCTGCAGCGGCAGGCAGGGAACATTGGAGTCCTCCGTCACTGAAGCAAGCAAGCCTCATGTTAGTTTCAAGCTGCCTGGCTGCCGGCTGCCATCTTGGCTGGCAGTTAATTTGCATATTGCCCTGATTAGCCAATGGGAAGGGTAGCGGTCGTACGCTAATTACCATGTTTCTCTTTTATTAGATAGGATAGATAAAAGTATTTGCACACATGAACAAGTACTACAAAGTACCTTGTAAGAGTGAAAACAACTATCAGGATGATACAAAAAAATTACCTAAAAATTATTTTGGCCCTGAGAGGTTTGGCTCAGTGGACAGAGTGTCGGCCTGTGGACTGAAGAGTCCAGGGTTTGATTCCAGTCAAGGGCATGTACCTTGGTTGCGGGCACATCCCCAGTAGGGGATGTGCAGGAGGCAGCTGATCGATGTTTCTCTCTCATTGATGTTTCTAACTCTCTATCCCTCTCCCTTCCTCTCTGTAAAAAATCAATAAAATATATTTAAAAAAATAAAAATAAATAAAAATTATTTTGTATTTGTCACTAATCTATGGATCCAGCTGTACCCTCTGAAACTTTCCACCACTAATCTTACCCTCATGCCTGACCTACAATGATTAGAGATGAATGCCCCTAAAAGGACAATGGCTTGCCCAGAACAACACTGCTATTAGTGATATAGCCATAAATAGAATCCAGTGCACTTAACTCCCTTCTCCTATCAACACCTACAATGTAAGGACACCAACCTTGTAAGTAGAGAGGGCCTATGCTTCGAGGACACAGGTGAGCACAGCACTCTCACAACAGGACCACCTGCTGGAGCACGCATGTAGCCCAGGGCTTCGCAGAATACTTATGGTAAAGCATACTTGACATGAACTTTTGCTTCTATTTCTTTTTTTTTAAGTCTCTTCTCTCTCTCTCTCTCTCTTTTCATTTTGAGTGCTTTTACAGAATGACTCTCACAAAAGATTAAGTAACACCCTTCACTCAAAACACACACTTGAATTAATTTAGTCTAAAGACATCATCTCAATAGATTTACTAGAATTTTTATTACACTTAACTCATCTACTTAGAAAAACAGTAAGAAAGGAATTGAACATCAGTAGTGTAGTGAAGCAGAAAGACCACTGATATTAGAGTCTGCAGGCCTGACTTAGTACCCAGACTCTCCCACTTTCTGCTTATATAAGATTGGGCTCCTCAATTCCTCATCTAGGAAATGGATCACTCCACCATCCTCAATGAACTGTGATAAAGATCAAACGAGCTAACATATGCAAAACACAAAATAAAGTGCCTGGCATGTGGTAAAAACTATAGCTAAGAAAATAAAGGGAGGAGAGGGACAGGTGGAAAAATAGAAAGGCAACCAAAAGAGAAAGAAAAATACGGGAACCAGGGTAGTGAAGGTAAGAAGTAAATGAAGGACTAAGGATGAGAAGAGCAGGCACAAAGGAGCAATTAGCATTAGAGAGGAAGATGTCTATAGTTTCTAAGGCACATAACCTAATGTAAATTTCTAATTTCTTCTGGTAGTTCCTTTTGGCCATAACTGAGAATAGGCAACATTTAAATAAAAAATAAAAAGGAATGGCCTGAGTTGCCGACCAGGGACGGCAGCATAGCTCTCATGTTCACATGAAAGATGAAATGGCCATGTGACCAAAAAACAAAAGCAGAAATTACTGAATGTGGATTTACTGAAAGATGTACCTTGGTTGCGGGCACATCCCCAGTAGGGGGTGTGCAGGAGGCAGCTGGTCGATGTTTCTCTCTCATCGATGTTTCTAACTCTCTATCCCTCTCCCTTCCTCTCTGTAAAAAATCAATAAAATATATTTAAAAAAAAATTATTTTGTATGTTATCACTAACCTATGGATCCAGCTGTACCCTCCGAAACTTTCCACCACTAATCTTCCCCTCATGCCTGACCTATGATCGAGATAAGGGTTCCTAAAGACAAAATCTAGATAAAACTAATAACATACTTATGTATCACCAGTAACCACTTAGAAAAATGTTTACAGAGACACCACTAACAATAAA